GCCTGCACCGGGGGACCTGGGCAGTGATCTGGCGCTCTGTGGGGGTGCATGTGCCTGCACCGGGGGACCTGGGCAGTGATCTGGCGCTCTGAGGGGTGCCCTCGCCTGCACCGGGGGACCTGGGCAGTGATCTGGGGCTCTGAGGGGGTGCCCTCGCCTGCACTGGGGGACCTGGGCAGTGATCTGGCACTCTGAGGGGGTGCCTGTGTCTGCACCAGGGGACCCAGCAGGTAGGGGGCTGTCCTCACAGAGCCTCTGATTGTACTTCCTGGCCACTCTGAGCCAGGCTCTCGGGTAAGTGCCCTCGGCTCCTCCTGATGGTACCGTGCAGGCTTCTGGCAGGGCTGGAAAGATGGTGCAGGGGCTGGTCATGCCAGGCAGCTCCAGAAACACTCAGAACCCGGGCCAGGGATGGCTATTAGTAGAAAACGCCTGCAGCTGGCCGGTGCTCATTGCAAACATCAGCAGAGCCCAAACCCAAAAAGCAGCGTTGCACACTTTCAATGTTGAAACAAGGGTGCACATGCACACACACACGTGTGCGTCACACAGTAACACACATACAAACACCAGCTAAACACACACGTGCACACACAGCAACTGAACACATTCACACACGGCAACTAAACACACACATGCACACATAGCAACTAAATACATCCAGTGTCTGACCTTTGGAAGCAATAAAAAAACCCGCCCACACAAGATGTGAACAGTGGCCATTTCAGGGACTCCCTTGGTCTTTCTGAACAAACATCTGTTCCTTCCTTTTCTCAGCAGGAACAGACGCCGACTTAGACATGCGCAGGGCGGCCCAGGGAGTGGCCCTGGCTGGTCCCGGCCCCGGCCTCCCTGCTGGACTGAGCTCCAGGTGCCTGGCGTTATGATGGAGTCCTCCTGAGCTCCAGCTGTCCCAGCATTGCACGTCCCCCTCCAGGCCCCCACGCAGATGCTGTGTGCGGCTGTCCTGTGTGCTTGCTTATGTACTCTGAGGCCACAGGTCAGGGACTGCCGGCCACACCCACGCCAGGAGAAGACGTCCGGGAGCCCAGGGCTTCCACCGTGAGGATGCAGACCGGAGCCCCGCAGCCCTCGGAGTCCCCGGCGGACGCTGGTGGCACACTCACACCGCAGTGGGGGGAGGTGCCCGAGCTGGAGTTTGCTGATTTTGCACAGCAGTTTAAAAATATCAACCGCCATTTCCCGGACACCGACAGCTCATGCTCTGGAGACAGGGCCGTGTTACCAGTCACCTCATCAGATGTCCACAGGCAGGTGAGTTTTCCCGGGAGGGGGGGGATGTGAAGCCACACCCTGGCGTGCAATGACAAAGCCCACAGCCAATGGCCTTGAGGGCTGGGTGCGGGCATACCCCACCTCCAGGCACCTGGACCCCGGCCTGAGGTTATGGAAGGCTCAGAGCTTTGGGACTGGGCTTGGAATTTGGTTGTATAGATTGCTAAAACAAATCAGACTGGAAAGCTCCCTATGAGCCCTGCTAGGTCTCTAGAACCTTCCTTCTCAGGGGTTCCTGTGTTGCACAGGGCAGCCTGGCAAATGGAGGCGTGGCGGGGACTCCACTCCCATCCTGGGCTCCCTCAGAGACTCGCCCCACACTCTGCCTGGCCCCCCGCCCCTGGGCCACAAGCGCGACCCCCCTCCTTCCGGCTCACCAAATGTGATCTTCCCCTTCTCGTCCTCGTCAATGGCTCGGAATAGGTCGGTCACGGTGAGCTCTGCCACCCCCAGGGCCGTCTTGAGGATGCAGGACAGGTCGCCTTCGCCAACGCTGCCATCCTCCTGCGCCCCGTACATCTGCAAGGCAAGCTGGGGGTCACCTTGCAGGCTCCTCCCTGCCCACCAGGTCCCACTGTCCGGGGTGCTCTTTAGTCCAGGGATACCCCAGCAGCCCTGCCCCACTTTCTCAGAGCGCTGGGCAAGGTCAGCAGCTGGACCCAGGGGCACTTGAGCTTCAGCGTGGAGCCACATGGCAGACCCTGTGCCGTGGACCCAGCCCTGCCACCAGGTGCCTCGTGGACATGCAGCAGATGCATCTTGGCTGAGGACTCAGATGCTGCCCACCCCACCTGTGACAGCTCAGCAAACCAATCAGCACCTGGGGCTGCCACTGGGAGGCCGCAGAAGGGACCCACCTGGGCCATGGGCAGCACGGGGCAAGCCAGGGCTGCAGTCTCCCCACAGCCTTCCTGCCTGAGTGCAGGCTACAGTGGACATGTTCACAAACATCAGTAACGTTAACAAACTAAGACGGCTAGAAATCCACAGGCCAGATGCAGGAGCAAAAATGAGACGGACCCTGGGAGGGACGGGAGAGCCCCGGGGGGAGTGGGAAGCAGGACCTGCTCGCTCTCCTGAGCCTCACACGTGACGCCTCCTCTCTTCCTGCTCCAACTGTGAAGGCAGCAGCTCTGGCCTGTTCTCTGCAGGGTCCAGGCGTCTGCCGCCCACCCCCCACAACTCCACAGTGCTCCCCTCCCTGGCTTCACAGGGACTCTGTGACCCGGGAATCCCCCAGACCCCTTGCTCAGGGCCCACCCATCCCTCTGCCCCTCTGCCCGTGCGGAAACAGCTCAGCTCCCTGTGGGGTGCAGGGGTCCCCAGCCCTTGCCCCAGCCCTTGAGGCTCGCGCTTGGCCCACAGCTCAGCTCCCTGTGGGGTGCAGGGGTCCCCAGCCCTTGCCCCAGCCCTTGAGGCTCGCGCTTGGCCCACAGCTCAGCTCCCTGTGGGGTGCAGGGGTCCCCAGCCCTTGCCCCAGCCCTTGAGGCTCGCGCTTGGCCCACAGCTCAGCTCCCTGTGGGGTGCAGGGGTCCCCAGCCCTTGCCCCAGCCCTTGAGGCTCGCGCTTGGCCCACAGCTCAGCTCCCTGTGGGGTGCAGGGGTCCCCAGCCCTTGCCCCAGCCCTTGAGGCTCGCGCTTGGCCCACAGCTCAGCTCCCTGTGGGGTGCAGGGGTCCCCAGCCCTTGCCCCAGCCCTTGAGGCTCGCGCCTGGCCCACAGCTCTGCGGTGGTGCTTTCTTCTTGTGTCCCCTCGGCTCCAACCCCTGGGCTCCCTCAGACCCCTCTGTGACCCTCTTGGCGGACAGCCTCTGTCGTTGCCCCCAGTCCTCTACTTGGGGCTGCATCATCCCCCACTGCCCTCTCTCTGCCTGGGGCCCATGGTTCCTGGGGCTCCCAACACACCCTCGACAGGGAGGTCGCCCCGGCTCCGAGCCCCCTAGTCCCCGTCTCCTGCTCCAGCATGCTGTGATCTTGTAGCGTTCACTCCACCCTCCTAGAGTGGGCAGCATGTCAGGGGCGCTGGCCTCTCTTCAGGGAGGGGCTGTGCCTTCACCTCACCTGGTTCCTCCTGGTGGTCAGGGAAGAGACATCAGGGCCTCTGGCCTGCTGCCTGGCAAGGCTGTCCCAGGGATGGCACCTTCTTCCCGGGCTCTGCCTCTACCCTGTGGACAGGGTCTGCTGCAGGCTCTGGAGGCCCCGTCCTCACCCTCGGCCCTCCCTACCCAGCCTCACCCCACAGCGCCTATGCACATGGCCAACCTGTCTTCCCGGGTCTATGTTTCCCTCCTGCTTTTAGATTTCCTGAATCAAACATCTGCCAACCAGATCCACGTTGGTGCTGCTGGAGCCTCAGAACGGGCCAGGCCAAACCCTCAGGGCCACGGGCTCCTGCTCTTTCGCCAACCTGGATCACACAGTCCCCAGGGAGCAGTGCCTCCTGCCTCCCCCCTGGCCTCAAGGCTGCCTTGGAGAGGTGACCTGGCATCTGGGTCCGTTTGGACACAGAACCGCAGACGCGGACTTCCATCCTCAGAGCAGCGTGTAGATGGCTGCACGGGAATCACAGACAGGCGGCACCGAGGCCACCGAGGGCGACGCGGACTGCAGGTTCTCCTGCCACCCTGAGCCGCTGGGATTTCTACCAGGTTGTCCTAAGGTTTTACACAGTGACAAAAATGAAGAAGAACAAAAACAAGGGGCCCCAAGGCGTAGGAAGCACGTCTGGAAAGTCTGGAGCGCGTGCCTCTGGGTCCCAGGTGCTAGCAGTTCTGTGTCCAGTCAGCCTGGGAGGCAGCTTCCTGGGTCTCCTCTATGTCCCAAGAGCAGCACGCGGGTGCAGTGATCATGCTCCTTCAAAAGAGAGTGCTCCATGGAAGCACCTCCTGCTACACGCAGCACCCCCAAATGTGCCAGGGTGCCGGGGCAGCAGCAAAGCACTGTGGCCTTGACTTAGGGAATTATGACACCACAGAAGGTACAGGCTGCCGGCAGGGGCACAAGGAGGCGGCCCGCAAGGTGAGAGGAAGCAGGTAAGCTGGAGAGTGCCAGGGCATCTGCCGTCGGGGCGGAGCTGCTGAGGTGCAGGTGAGGCGGGACCCTGGAGTCCCCACGGGGACGCAGCTACCTCCGCTGGCCTGGGAGCCCGTGAGAGCTGATCATCCATCCTGCCCCTAGGTGGTCCCTGCAGGTCAGCCTGGGCCTCACCTATTGCCTGGTTCACCTGAGAAAGAGACCTCCCAGAAGTACGTACCCCACCCTGAGCAGGGACAGGTGGGCACCATCCTCCCGAGCGGGTGTCAACCCCACCACAGCCAGTTACCCTGCCTGCCTGCAGGTGGGGCCTCTGCAGCAGCAGCCCGGAGGATGCTCGGGCCCCACGGCCCATTGTTTATGATGAGAAACGAGGCAAGTGCCACCCCCTCCGCTGCTGCTGTCATTCTGTTCCAGAGTCTACGTGGTGGCTTTAGCGCAGGGGCTGGTGGGGCCAGCAGAACAGGGTGCGGTGGCTCACGCCTGTAATCCCAGCACTTTGGGAGGCTGAGGTGGGCAGATCACCTGAGGCCAGGAGTTTGAGACCAGCCCGGCCAACATGGTGAAACCCTGTCTCTTCTAAAATTACAAAATTCAGCCGGGTCCTGTGGCACGTGCCTGTAATCCAGCTACCCAGCAGGCTGAGGCACAAGAATCGCTTGAACCCGGAAGGCAGAGGTTGCAGTGAGCTGAGATCGTACCACTGCACTCCAGCCTGGGCGACAGAGTGAGACTCCATCTCAAAAACATTAAAACAAAACAGGGTGTGGCAAAAGCGAGGCCGGCGGGGTCCGTGAGGCCACAGGGCCTGGCCCAGAGCAGGGACCCTAGGACGCAGCCTGCCCAGGCCTAGAGGGGAGGCTGGCTGGGCTTTCTTACACAGGGCTGTCAAATGCTGAGGTCATCCAGTTCATCCTGCCTGGTGTGACCCCCACAAGCCACCTTTGCATGTGGGGACATGGTCCCGTGTTGCTATGGAGAGGGTGTGCTGGGGTCAGAAGTGAGAGAAGGGAGTTCTTAGAGCAGTGAGAGACAAGCAGCTTCCTGACTCACACATCAGGCCCTTGTGAGTCTGGCTAATGTGAGTCACACCCTGTGAGAAGGCCTGGTAAAACTGCCTCTGTATAGGCAAAGCCAGCCCAGCTCCGTCCCAGACGAAATCCATGTTGGTGGTGCTGGAGCCTTAGAATAGGCTAGGCCAAACCCTCAGGGATGCTCGGCCTCCTGCTCTCCAGGCCTGACCCAGACCCCACTCAGCCCCCGGGTGCAGTGACTCCCTCCCCCTACCCCCTGCAGTGAGGTAAGTCCTGAGGGCTTCCCAGGACTCTGCAGCTGGGCTGGCACCCCCGAGTCCCCCAGTGGTCAGTGACTGGGGTCTGACGTGTCACAGCCCCTGGAGTCAGCTGAGGCAGGCAGCTCCTGAGCCATGCTTTCTTCATAGTCCACAGTCCTCGAGGGAGAGAGGACGGGACGTGTGGGCCCATGTTAGATGCCCTGTGGCACCGCCAGCCCCACCCAGGTGCCCCGGGACCCAGGAAGAACCTCAGCCACACCTTTCTGATGAGTTTGAATTGCTAAATCCAGGAAGAAATAAATCTGGGAGTGTTTTGGGCATTTCACAAACAACAGCCAGCAAAAGCTTATGTAAAAAACAGCAGCTGGGCAAACGATCAATTAACTGATACTATAAGGGACTAGAAGAATGAAGAATGGTGCTGACATGACCACACGTGAACAATCAAACCCACGTGAACTCTGCACTCACCTTGAAAGCCAGCTGGATGGTGTCCAGCGTCCGGGCCGGCCGGCAGACGACAGACAGGGCCACCACGCACTCCCGCAGGTCCACTTTGCCGCGGCCGCTCTGTGGGGAGAGACGCTGTCAGCCATTGCTCGGCCTCCGCCTTCGGCACTGGAGACACGCCGGGGTTTCCCATGGGTCCCGGTGTTAATTAAGGGCCAATGCTGCTCTCACTTGGGAAAGGGAACTTTGGAAAGATGTTTGACCAAGTGGGTTCTCCGAGGTCACTGTGCCGTGTACACTTTTTGGGGCCATTACAATGAATCCCAAAGTTCAGCAGGCTGCCACAGGGAGCATGTCAGCAGAGCATGCAGAACATGTTGCCTGCCCCCTGCCGAGACTTGCATTTGAGAAAACGCAGCAGGCACCAAGACTGGCTGTGGGCTCCAGGAAGTGAGTCTGTTCATGGCAACACATCCATCCTTCAGAAAGAAGGTGAAGCTAAACACACAGCCCGGCTGGGCCAGCTGTGGGTGCCAGCCAGCCCCGTGCTGACCATTCTCAGTCATTCCTCACACCCAGAGTCTCCAAGGGACATGCTGACGTAAATGAGCAGGGTGTTGAGAGGCACAGAGGGGGCTGACAGGGTCTGCACTTGTGATGATGATGGGGGCGGTCTGCACGTGGCTACAGGGTGCACCCAGGCTGCAGGAAAGAACCTTGCAGGTCAGAGCGGGAGGAGGTGAGGAGCACCCTGGACGGGGGAGGACTCTCTGGCCAGAGAGCAGGTGAGGAGCACTCAGGGCAGGGGGAGGACTCTGGCCAGAGAGCAGGAGATGAGGAACACCCAGAGACAAAAGAAGGACTCCCTGGTTGAAGAGAGTAAGAGAAGGTGAGGAGCACCCATGACATGGGGAGGATTCTGGCCAGAGAGCAGGAGGTGAGGAGCACTGAGGAGCAGAGGGAGGACTCTTTGGCTAGAGAGCAGGACATGAGGAGCGCCTGGGGCAGAGGGAGGACTCTGGTTAGCAAGCAGGAGGAGGTGAGGAGCACCCAGGGGCAGGAGGACTCCCTGATCAGAGAGCAGGAGGTGATGAGCACCCAGGATAGGAGGAGGGCTCTGGCCAGAGAGCAGGTGAAGAGCACCCAGGGGCAGAGGGAGGATTCTGGTCAGAGCAGTATGCGGTGAGGTGAGGAGCACCCAGGAGCAGAGGGTGGACTCTGACCAGTAGTGGTCTTTGCTTGTGTCAACTACAGGCCACAGGTGCTGGAGGTGAGGGGCACGCAGGTCCCTGAGGCTCTTCTGAAGGAACTGGTAGCTTTCTTTGTGCCATGCCACACCCCTTGCAAGGCATGGGGTACTGGGACTGGGGCTTGGGTACCCGGCAGGTGGAGTTCCCATCAAAGCCAATGACTACAAGTCCCGGCTCTGGGAAGGTCTTGGGTTGAGGGTCCGAGGTCCTGGGTGTGAATGGAGACTATACCTACCTCGTAAGATCATGTGCATTTGAAACTGCAGAAAATAAAAAATTCACTGCAGTGTCGAAGTGACTCGGAATGCTGCCTGCAAAAGCAGTATTCACTATTTCGTGTTTCAGTTCCAACACTGTGGTAAAGCGGCTGAGAGCAGACGCAGCCCGGGCTGTGGCAGGGACACGGGGAGGACTCGCACCTGAGACACTGTTTCCCGCTGCGCGTATTGGAGGGCCCGCGGCTGGGAGGCCCCATCAGTGCGCGCATTCAAAAGCATGGGAGGAAATACCCCAACGCGACAGGGTGGGGCAGCGAGGGGTGGTTTCTCTTCTCTGCTTTCAAACGCGTGTGAAAATCATTATATTAGAACAACGTATACTCCACAAAGCGGGAGGCTTTGCCAAGACCCCGCTCCCCACCTCGTCGAACAGGGAGAACATGTCTTCCAGCAGGTCGGACACGGGCACTTCCAGGAAGGCTGCGAACTCCGAAATGCCGATCGGCTCTCCTCCCTTCACCCTGGCGCTTGCTGAGTATTTGTCCAGATCTTTTTCAAGCTTTTCTGGTTTGAGCCTAGACAAAAATAGAGGGAAAGCTTTCTTTTTTAATAAAATGTCAGTATGCAAACACTAGATTTAGTTATAAGACTCACCACAATATTATTTACACAGGTAGCAGCAAGTCAGTTTTCCAGAAAAGGCCTTCTCATTGGAAGGTGTGAGATGGGTTTTGCCCACGTGTCCAGCCAGGTGCCTGTGCCCCGGACACCCATTCCCCTCCCAGGGCGTGTGAGTGGGAAACCCCGTGGGAGACCCCACAAGTGCCAGGCAAGGGTCTGAAGCCTCAGCCTGTTCCCATATGAATATGGGACTAGGAAAGAATTAAGAGATATAGCTATCTAGTTATTCCCATATACACAACCATATATAAGTCAGTTATTCACATATAATATATATACTCAGTATAACCTTTTGAGTCTACTAGGGATTATCAGGTTATGAAGCATGGAACTGAGGTGACAATGTGAACAAAGTGATCCTACGGCAAGATGCTCTCAGCCCTCTGTCAGGCCCGCGTAAGGGCTGCCGGAGGGCGCCTCAGCTGTGCGGCAGTGCCAGAGCACTGGGAAAGCGCCCGCTGTTTAGCCAGCTAGGGAAGGAGGTGTCCAAGACGTCTGAGACGTCTCCTTCCTCAGGGGAGTTAGGAGAAAACTCTGCCCCTCCAAGCTCTTGCGGTCAAGGCCTGACAGCTGTCAGGGAGACCCGCAGACATCGGGGTGTAACTGTCTCTGTGTGACGCTGTGCTTCAGAGGTCACGTTCCATGTCCACTCTCACGCTGTGCTTCTGCACCTGGTTAATCTTTTTCTTAAAAGATAAGAATCAGTAAAAGTAACATCAATCTTAATGTCCTTGTCCCTTCTTGACAAGTCTGGAAAAAGTGCTGACCCATTATGCTCCTTACCTCATCTCGGCTACTTGAAAGTCCTGTGCCCCCATCCCTAGACATGTGATGTACCTGACCCTACCACTGACCACCATCACCTCACCCCACCTGCCTTGCCCCCTGCTGTGTACTCAATAAAAGTCAGAGCGTGCAGACACTCGGGGCCATGGCCGGACTCCGCGCTTTGGTTGGCAGTGACCCTGTCTCTCTGTGTCTGTGTCTTTTATTTCTACAGTTTCTCATCTCCACACCAGCAGAGAGGGGCTCACAGGACTCTGTAGGGCTGGACCCTATAAGGGCGGGTCTTGCAGGACACAGGGTGGCCTCCTGGGCGCCATCCACACAGACAGCTGATGCCAAGCATTGAGGGATTTAAAGGCACTCTGTAGGCTGAAGCTGAGGTTCGAGAACAGCCAAAGAAAAGCCACAACAAACATCGTCAAGAATTATTTCCGTAGCTCCCTGCCGTGGGAGCCCCGCTAGACCGTGGCAATCGTGGTTCTAGCCAATGGTCAAGGAGGAATCACCAGGCACTTACCCCAGGCCGCGCACCAGCCTGGCGAATTCTAAAAGGCAAGTGTCAGCCGGGAGACGGAGCTGTCCTTCCGCCAGGGCCAGCTGGCAGTCCTCAAAAGTGTAGTCAGTCACGGAGATGCCCAGGGCTCTGCAAGAGAGGGCAGCACGCCCCGTCAGCCCAGCCCTGCGACGGCCAGCTCCCCCCGCCTCCCCTACTCCCCCCAGTAGCCGCAGATGGCCGTGGGCATGGCTGTGCGTCTGCGGCACAGACAGGGAGTGACCTGCTGACCACCTGCCTGTGCCTGAAGGAGGGCTCAGGGTGATGGGAGGGGATGGCAGAAAAAATTACAGCGGTACCCCCTTCACAGGGCACCAGCTCCCACGTGGGCCTCTCCTGAACCAGCCGTGACAACTGAAATCCCTGCACTGGCCGCTGACCACCTGTTGCTTCTGCTCTGAGGCCACCACGGTGTCGACACCATGGAGCCGTCCGTCCAGGAGAATGTGGGCATTTTAGGAGCCGTTTCCTCCCCCTGTGGAGGCTGGACAGAGGTGGCTTTACCACCCGGTAAACCATGCTTTCACTGAGGTTTCAGGGTTTTTATTTTGTAGCCTACACAAAATATTAAGTCATACACTAAAAAAGAAATAAATATGGGTCCAGGCGGAGGCCAAGGTGAAAGTGAATGCTGTGGCTTCAACAGGCTTCCCAGGAACAGGGATTACCCATGGCCGTTAGAGAACTAGGCCCTCTGCACGGAAAAGCCCATCAGGGCTCAGCGGAGCCCTGGACATTCAGAAACAAAATAAACCATCCACGAATAAGGAGAAAAGCAACAGGGAGACCTTTACAAACTGACCTGAAGGAGGAAATGTGCAAAGGTACATCTGACCAACAGACAAGTCCTTTCCAGCTCTGGCCTGCAGGGGTTCCTCATCCAGTGTCAATCCCTGCCCCAGCCTTCTTCCTTCCTGCCGGCACCGAAGGCAATTTGCAGCCACTCCAACAGAACAGTTACCGGCAAGGGAGGAAACAGCTGGAAGTTGATTTTCCTCTTGGAATGAACCTGGGACAAGCCTGGATGAGAGGAATCCCCTGGAAACACAGGCTTGGGCCCCCTCCCCACCTGACCACAAGGTCTGCCTGGCTCTAACCACACATGCAGGCCCCTTTTCTATTTAACTGAGCTGGATGCAGGGGCCAAGGTCAGGCTCCACTTCCCTGGGCCATTCAGGAAAAGCCACTTTCCTCTTTGGGTGGAAGGAGAGGATGGGCATCTGGCCTGCCCTTCTATGGTCCCCACCTGAATGAGCTGCCTCTTGCTCCTGCCTGGAGAAAGGAGGGAGCAGAGGCTTCGGGCAGGAGATGCAGCACTTATGCCTGCAGCCCTCACACAGGGACCTCTTCCCCAAGCCCTGCAGAGACAAGAGGGTTCTCCTGCAAGCAGCCCTGCAGTGGGCTCAGGGTCACTGGGCTCCCACTGCACTAAAGGCACGCCTGCATTTGCTGTCTGCAGGACTCAGGGTCACGGGCTCCCACTGCACTAAAGGCGCACCTGCATTTCCTGTCTGCAGGGCTCAGGGTCACTGGGCTCCCACTGCACTAAAGGCGCACCCGCATCTGCTGTCTGCAGGGCTCAGGGTCACTGGGCTCCCACTGCACTAAAGGCGCACCCGCATCTGCTGTCTGCAGGACTCAGGGTCACTGGGCTCCCACTGCACTAAAGGCGCACCTGCATCTGCTGTCTGCAGGACTCAGGGTCA